ATTACTAGCATCACAATCCAGTATGTATGGCAGTGAGGGATTTGGAAGCTTTAGAGGTGGAGCTGAGGCCAATTTTTCTTTCAATGTCTTGAAAGCATGCTAGCAAGAAACTGTCCATTCGAACTTCTGGCCATTCTTTGTCAAATCATGTAGTGGAGCAGCTATAGTTGCAAAGTCCTTCAAAACTTGCGGTAATAGGTACAGAGTCCCAAGAAACTTCTTAAGTCTCCCACATTGTCTGGTGTTGGCCAATCATGCACTGCTTTCACCTTGTCAGGATCAGTTTGCACACCACGCTTACTTAGAATGTGACCCAAGTAAAGTACCTTTATCTGGAACAAGTGGCATTTCTTGGGATGGAGTTTGAGGTTTGCTGCTTTCAAATGCTTCAATACTTCCTCTAGCCGGAACATTTTCTCATCAAATGTTGTTGCAAACACAATGACATCGTTCAGGTACACTAGGGCTATCCTCCATTGTAGGCCTTCCAATACGCTTTCCATCAGCCTCTCAAATGTTGCTGGAGCATTGCTAAGCCCGAATGGCATCACACGGTATTACCAGAGACCTTGGCCATAACTAAATGCAGTCTTAGGTTTATCTGCTTCAGCCATTTTCACTTGATGGAAACCTGACTTTAAATCCAGGGTTGAAAACCACCTGGCTCCACTTAGGGCATCAAAAGTATCATCAGTTCTTGGCAGCGGGTATGAGTTATTTTCAGTTATATTGTTAAGAACCCTGAAGTCCCCACAGCTACGTTAGGTCTCATCCTTCTTCTGGACTAACACGACGGGAGCTGACCAGGGACTATCTGATTTCTCGACTATCCCTTCCTTAATTAGGCCATCCATGACCTTCTCCATCTCCTTTCGCTTTGCCGGAGCTATTCTCCTTGGAGGGAACTTTATTGGACGGTGATTGCCTGTGTTTATTCTGTGCTCCACAAGGTCTGTGCAGTCAAGGTCATGTTCTCCTTTCGAGAAAGACATCTGCATAATTCGCCAAGAGTTCCCTAACCTGAAGAGCCTGTGATGATGACAAATGGACTATGCTCTTCTTATAGAGGTTAGTTAAATGTTCTGGGAGAAGATATCCTTTCTTTGTGATTGTATTTCTTGCCTTAACATTGACTGGCTCTACCCCCTGGCACACACCCAACAATGC